TACCAGGGGGCAGACAGTCGACTGGTCGACCAGTCGCTATGATGTGCACTGACCATCAGGTGGCAGACAGTCAACCGGTCGACCAGTCGCTATGACATGCACTGACCACTAGGGGGCAGACGCTCCAACAGGTAGGTTAGCTTGCTGCTGGGGTCTGGCCAATCGGGATTGAGCTAGATGGGCCGGACATGCCCTGGAGCCCTCCCACGGTCCTTCCCCAGCTGGCCAACCTCCCAGCTCCCTCCCTGGCCCCGATTATGCACCGGTGGAGTCCCTCAGCCTGGCCTGCGCCCTCTCACAATCCAGGACCCCTTGGGAGATGTCAGAGAGCTGGTTTCGGCCCAATCCCACAGGCCAGGCCAAGAGACCCCACTGGTGTACGAATTCGTGCACTGGGCCTCTAGTATCATATAAGATAGTATGTCAAATAAGATTCTTAAGTATGCATCTTTCCAATAACAGAACTAATTATATAATAACCAGCATTAATTTTATTTCTGTAAAAGAACATAGTTGAACTCTTACCATTCACAACAGCATGGATGGACATGGATAGCATTATGCTAAGCGAAATAAGCCAGTCAGAAAAAGATAAATATCACATGACCTTACTGTTAAGAGATCAACCAAAAGACTTGTATGCATGCATATAAGCATAACCCATGGACACAGACACTAGGGGTGTGGGAGCATGTGCGGGGGTGGGGTGGTGGCTGGGGAGAGATCAATGGGAGAAAAAGGAGACATATGTAATACTATATGTAATACTTTAAATAATAAAGAATTTTTAAAAAAAGAAACATGAAATATAGAGAGCAAGTAAGGTGTAAAAAGTTTCAACAGGTGGAGTGAGAGAATATTCCAGAAGGGCGCTTAGGCCAGGAACTACATCTACCTTCTAGGGAAGGAACTGCTAAGAGTTAATTAAAAATTAGTGTTGTTTCCACATCTGCCATCACTAAAGCTCCTCTTCCAATGATCGACAGTGACCTGAAGCCTTCACACAGTACTAAGAGGACTTATGAACTCAAAATTTATGAAACTGTGAGCATTCAGAAAATAATCAAGTACATTATTAAGAAGTGGAAAATAAGTCATAAAAAATTAAAGATTCAATTTAAACAACAAAAAAGGCATAGTTATTTAATTTTAACATGTATTAATTTGAATTATATATTTTCTCTGGTGTATTAAAAGGCACAAATATTTAATTTCATGTAATCATTTTCTTCAAGCTTCTACTACCTAACTTTTAACCAGTATATCCCATATCAATTATTCCCTAACCTCAAGCAGTAACATCTACAAACAGAAAAAAAACTTCTGTTTATCCCTATAAATTATAAAGGGTGTAAATTTAATATGAAGTTCTTCAATACTATAAAGCCATTTAAATATATCAGCAATTTAAAATGTGCACAGCTATGTAGACAAAGCTAATTACTGAAAGAAAGGACTAAGATAGCCATATTAAGGAGAAAAAAAGAACTAATTTTTTAATTACTTTTGAGAGGAACATGTAATTATACAGGCCAAAGATGTTCATTTCTGAAATGTTTAAATGTTTTGTTTTGTTTTTATTTTAGAAAGAAAGGAAAAAAGGGACAAATATCAATCCTGACTAGGGATCAAACCCGCAACCTGAGTACGTGCTCTGACTGGGAATCAAACTGGCAACCTTTTGGTGCACGGGACGATGCTCAACCAACTGAGCCACACCAATCAGGGATAATACTTCTGTTTATTTAAAATCACATTCCCTAGCATATTCCAATCACAACTTTACTGATTTCTAAAAATGAAATACAATTTTCTTCTTTGATCTAAAAGATGTCAAACTTCCCATAAGTTATTTTGCCAAAGTTCCAGAGCAAAAGAGTTTTAAAATGTTGCTTATATCAAAAGTCTGTTTGGATAGTTCTAAAGAGAAATCCATAACTGAAGTGCTTTGAATGCTTTTTGGAAAAACAGAAAAAAGACCAGGTATTTAATGTTCCCACAAAGCGATTCTTTCATTTCTATATGCAAGAGAGAGCCTGGGATTTAAAAAGTTCATAACAACAAAGCCTCACTACGTCCCATTTAGCAGTTTTATCTATCGTCTGTTACCAGATGTTAGCATTATGTAAGATCGTTTCCTCCTATTAGGAAGAGTTCCTAAGATCCAGTAAAAGCTGGTAAAACTGAAATCTAACCTACTTTTTTCAAAAGATTTCCATGGATTTAAATTTAACTAAATATGCTAGCAAACACTTTGCTTTTTAAGTGTTAAAATAAAAATCTGTAAAATAGACATACATTTCTCAAATTTACTTCTCTAACAGTGAATTCCTTATAATAAACCCACACAAAAAATTATTCATTTAGAGTATATTTATAAAATGTAAGTAAACTGATTATTCCAATGTATAAGTTTAATAAAACACAAATGTGAATTTTAAAACATGTTATTTATAAGAAAAAGATTTCTTGTATTTATAAAACTGCCATGTGTAGTTTTCTATTATCCTTCATTCTTTGAAGGATAATAGAAAACTACATTCTCAAGATGGAAGTTTAATAAATTAATTAAAATAGAAGACATTCAAAACTTTTTAAAAAGAGAAATCTAATTTCTGGGTTCTTTCAAACTGCCAATTGTCATAAAATACAATGAGAAATACATTTCAAATACACTCACAAGTCAACTACATAACATCCCATTTACAGACTTTTATGTTATTCCTGCAATTCAAATATAGGCACTATACTTTTCCTACAATTATTTGGAAAAATCAATAAGAAGTTCACAGAAAGTTAATTTCAAATAAAAGGGTAAGAAAACATACATTCTTATGAAAATTATATGCATAAGCAGGACACAAATGAACACATTTCATCACATGATTTATAGTAATAAATTACTTCTTATACTAATATTTGAGACTACTAACTTCATTTTTCTTAAAAAAGGTTTAAAAGTATAAAAATCAGGCTGTATTCACTATGCTCAATTTTCCATGGAACTATAATTTCCATTAAATTACATGAAAATAAAGTGGCTATAAATATTACAGATAAATGAAATTTAAAAAACGAACATCATAGCCTGAAGATTTTCTACTGTATACCTTGTAAGAACAGAGTAAATGGATATGATAAAAACACTATAATAATGGACTGTGGTTTCATCAAAATAATAATCATATTAACTAGACATTACCCTAACTTCAAGGTTCATTAGTACACAGGAAATAAAATTACTCTGCTCATAACAACCAGAGCAACATGAAACAATAAATCACTATGGGTGTTTCTTCTATTTTACCATTAAGTGAAACTCAAAACAAAAGTACACAAAAGAGGTATCTCTTATGTTCAAACCATGGGTAATTCAAGAATACCTGAACTAAACAAGATTAAAAAATACTTTTGATAGCCTTAAATTCTAAAAATAAACACAGGATAGTAATGATCAATGCTCTCCAAGTACATGCCATCAATCATTCACAATTACTCTGTAGAAGTCTTTATAATATATATTGTTAAAATTAATCATATAAAATATAAATAAGTGGTTCATTCTTGAAAACTAACATTGTAAGCTATGGTGTTTAATAAGAACATTAAATATGAAAATGCAAATTATAAACATACAGCACTAGAATTTTATAAATAAAGTTAATATCCTAGCAAAGAAAGAACTAGCATCTATTCCCCCAGACATAATAGTTAATGTTCCAGAAAAAGGAAGGAAAGGAAGAATAAATAAGACTAACCTTACCACCACTGCTACAGACAAGTTATGACTGAAAGCTGTAGTTTTAATACTTTTTTCTATTTCTTTCTCTTATCATAAATGAATATGTTTATGACCTTATGTAATATCTGGTTTATGTGCACAAATCACTATTGGAAACATTGCCTATTATAAAAAGGCTTTGTCTTGTGTGTTTATACCAAAATAGAACTCATGTAAAAAGTGAATTATAAACTCAATGGAGAAAATAAGCAATAAAAGTTATCCTAGTTATATAATAGAATTAAATTCCTAGGAGACTTTAAGGGTGAAATTTAAAGTATTTGTTTTGGGCTCAAAAAATATAAATCTAGGGAAAATCAGAATAAATCTAATTAAATTAAATATACTCAAAAGTTTTCTATATTTTGCGTACATATATGTAGCAAAGGAGAAGCAGGACGTACAAAATTTTTGCAATATATCTATATCCACGTTCTTGCTTTCTTTTTGCATACAACAGTATATGACAGAAAATGGTGAGGATGACAATGGCTTTGTGACAAATAGGAATGGACTCAATGCAGACGTAGTAGGCCAATCTAGCTTTTGAGAAGGTAATGGTTTTTATGAATGGTTTTACTGAATTGCAAAAATGTATTTGGACTGCCCTAGCTGGTTTGGCTCAGTGGATAGAGCATTGGTTTGTGGACTGAAGGGCGCCAGGTTTGATTCTGGTCAAGGGCACATGCCCGGGTTGTGGGCTTGATCCCCCGTGTGGGGTGTGCAGGAGGCAGCTGATCAATGATTCTCTCTCACATTGATATTTCTATCTCTCTCTCCCTCTCCCTTCTTCTCTGAAATAAAAAAATATATTTTTTAAAAAAATGAAATAAAAATGTATTTGGACAGACTTCGAAACTTTAAAAAACTGTGTTCATAAACGTTCTTATTCAGAGATAGTACTTTAATAAAACCTAATTAAAAAGATACAGATATATTTAATTAAACGCCCCAATTTCTTAGAAACTAACTTACTTTCCTCTAAAAATATAATTTGTGATAGCAGAGGAAAAGAACTATCATTTCCTATAATTTCTTAGTTAAGACTAGTATGGCCCATATTTCCACCAGTTCTACTAAATGTGCAGAGCTGTCATACAGGCCCATGTTAGTGTCTTAGCCTAGAACGGACAATGCTAACACTAAAAGGGAAATCAGTCTGAAAATCATAATCTTTAACAACAGTTTATAAGTGTATCACTGATATTTCAACACTTACGGCTATCATAACATATGTTTCCTAGAGCCCTGCCCGTTTGAAGCAGCACTTCCTGGTCTTTGCTATTTAGTAGCTGCACCAGTGGTGAAATCAATCCAGCATCCACACACGGAATTCGCATAAACTCTGAAAATAAGAGACATATTTAATTAAAAATTTAAAAATTCACAAGTTACACAAATCATGTTCCTTAATAAAATAAATACTTATTATTAAAATGTTTAAGATGGCTTACTATTTGAAGAGTACATTTCTGTTCAAAATTACCATTGGTACTCTACTACATACTTCATGAAAAAAGTACACAAAAATTAGTGGAGTCGTATTTTCCTTTGCTGACAGTCTGCCATAAACCAAAAAATTTTTTAATTAATTTACTTTATACCTAATTTATCACCATCTTCTTATAATAATTGGATGTGCTTATAAAGCAGCATGTTGATGGTGGAGAAACTGGTAATGGTCTTTCCATGAGCCTGATAATTAAAGTACAGCAGGTCCTCAAACAACTTGTTCCGTTCAATGCTGTTTTGTTATAATGCTGATGAGATGCAGTAGAAATCTAACTCTTGTTTATATCAGATTAGCCTATGGTAAAATCGGTTTTGTCATCCATTGTTTCACCACAGTTCCATGAACCTATTAATAACACTAAGTAAGGACTACTATACTACAGTTATAAACTAAGCCATCAAATTGCATAATTTTCACTCTATGTTCTCTAAAAATTAAAAATACAGCATTTTTTAAAAGATTCAAGTGAATCATCCTATATAATAAAAGGCTAATATGCAAATCAACTGAAGAGCGGTACAACCGGTCACTATGATGCACAATGACCAGCAGGGGACAGATGCTCAACGCAGGAGCTGCCCCTGGTGGTCAGTGTGCTCCTACAGGGGGAGCGCTGCTCAGCCAGAAGCCGGGCTCGCGGCCGGTGAGCGCGGTGGCCGGAGCCTCTCCCGCCTCCGCAGCAGCATTAAGCCATCAGTCAGATATCCCCCAAGGGCTCCCAGGCTGCCAGAGGGAGCAGGCCGGGCTGAGGGAACCCCCCTCCCAGTGCACGAATTTCATGCACTAGGCCTCTAGTTATAAATAAATCCTTTTCCATTGATAAGACTCAAAAGAACCATCTATTCCTTATCTTCATTCCTATTCTTTATTAAAATTCATTTCATGGATCACTCATATCTGCTGTTGTACCCATACATTTGGTCTAAAGCACCAAACGTATTCTTATACTTCAAACATTTTTCTTTCCTTGGCTTTATAATATACCATTCTAAATTTAACAACTCCCAATGATATCATCATAGTCATGATTAGACAAACTTTTATACAGTGTCTCATGAGGTACTAACAAAATTTAAGGATATGAAGATAACTAGTTGATGAAAGTTCTCTAATTAGGGCTATTATGTGAACTGTTTGTTACCTTTGAAGCAGCTTCTTTTCCCCCTAACATAGCTATAAGTCAAGAGGTATTCCTCTCTACCTAAATAAAGGATTGCATTTCTATCATATTTCTTACTTACCTCTAGATTACTGAAAATCCTCTATAATTTAAACTCAAAGATTAAGAGTACTTTCTTACTTCTAAAGCTAACCTTTAAGTATATTGTCAATGTTTTGTTTTGAACTCAGTAGTATGAGATATTCTATTACCTACTGAAAATTATGCTATATACTTCCATGAATTCAATGACTATAGAAGATGACACATCAGTCTACTTGTCTACCTCTTAAATTAATAATTACTTTAGAATCTTTATAAATTTCAAACCTTAAAATAACTTGTCATCAACTCAAATTAATCAAATTAAAGGCAGATATTCATTATTCTTTTCATCTCTCTCAATGCCTAGATTCCAACAGGGGCATATTTAAATGACTACAAAAATTTAGGAACAGAATGATTTGCATTATTTTCATAAATGGAATCTGTAGTTATATCTTATTGTTTTGCTTGTTTGTTTTGTTGTTAGTATTCTTCAGGCAATGGCAGCATTGATGAATTACTATTTTTCTTTGCTTTTATGTTCTAATTGTCTATATCAACCTATCTTTCAAATTTTTGATGCTATAATCGATATTCAGTGTTCTTGAAATGATAAAGGGTAAATAATTACAGGAAAATTGTGGATCAAGTAAAACTGTTCTGAACTGAATTTTTTATATTTTATTCCAAAGCATATAAAGAATACTTTAACCCAGCCAGAGTGGCTCAGTGGTTGAGCACTGACACGTGAACCAGGAGGTCATAGTTCGACTCTAGTCATGCCTGGGTTGTGGGCCCAATTCCCAGTGGGGTGTACAGGAGGCAATCAATCAATGATTCTCTTTCTCGTCATTGATGTTTCCATCTCTCTCTCCCTCTCTCTGAAACCAATTAAGAAAAACAAAAACAAAAAACCTTAAACATACACAATGTTATATTTCAATTAGCTCTATTTAAAAAAAGAATAAAGATAAAATTAGTATATTCCTCAGCTTTTTCAGTCAATGTAAAAGCAACATTGCCAGTCACTGGAGAAAGTAAAGGTCTTCCAAAACCTTTTGCTTTTCAGGCAATTTACTTTTTAAGTAAGCAGTGCAGCCCTCATTAGCTAGTATTGAAAACATGAAGTTACCTACTTCAGATGGATAAATGTGAAAACATACCAGTAATTTTTCAGGAATATGTTTAAAATAATATATATCATTGATCTACATACAGAAATATAGATACTATTACAGAATGACTGTGATGGTCATCCTCTCTCAAAGTGGTACCTACTATCTACATCCCTAGTTTCTGGAAATCTATATTGTGATTCTAATGAGATTAAAAATCAACTACTTGATCTTAAAAATAACGCTGCTTTGCATCTAAGAGTCAGATAGTGGTGGTCTAGATTAACAAACCATTTCTGAGGGGGATCTATTTTCAAACTAAATCTGCTTCAGAAGTTCTTTGTTGTCCTGAGGTAATCACTATCTATTCACAGCAATTCAAATCTGCTTGAAGTACATGAAATATTTCAAGACCTGAACATTTATGACTAGCTGAAATCCAAAGCACAGTATAGTGATAATATAATTACAATAGCTAGTCGTGATTTACATATAAAAACCTTACTGAAGCCTGAAAGACATTTTGAGAACCTCTAAACAAATGAAAAGAATTTCATGGTAATTTTCTTTTTGGTAATACATTTATGAACAAGTTGTTTTACTGGGCCCAAAACAACATACATTAGTTTCGTACAATGCCACCTGCCATAGTGATTATACAAATGAGGTCAGAATTTTAAAAAAAATTTTCTTTAAAGTATAACATATGCAACTTACTAAAATAAAATGCCTAAAAATAATATCAAATCATAAATTGAGACAAACTAAAGGTATTACATTTAGTATGGCCCTCCCTTAATGTTAAAAACTGCTTTAAGTCAGGGTTTTCTCAAATTGACCAAATTAAAAAATCATATGCAAATATTTCTGCTACAATAAATTCTTGCAAAGAATCTCTTATTAGATGTAAACTATATGTAATGGGATGGATTAGCTATTATATGATCTAAGCTTTGTTGTCATTATTATTTTTCCAGAGTATTTTTAAATGGAAATTTAAAAAATAAATGTTTCCCTTAAAGGTAAATGCAGAAAACAGAACATATATTCTAATTGCTCTGTTGCTGTCAAGTGCCAATGTCAGGAGGATAGACCAGACTAAAAATAAATAGTTCAAACCTGGGTACAACACAAACAATATATACACTGAAAAGAATAAGCTAAGCTCTCTGTGACAATAAAGATAAATGTCTCAGTGGCAAGTTTAAGAATCCTATAACCAAAGTAATAAATGATATAGGTACAGCAAGGACTAGCAGTGTTTTCCTTTAATTCAACTCTAAAAGAAGGGAATAGCAGATGTGAAATGTATAAATAAAATGACTATAAATATAGTCATTTTTAACAATTACATGAAAAAGGCAAAGAAAATATAAAAAAATTAAAAATGTCTAATCTACAAAATTAAAACATAAATTAATAAAACATACTGACAATTAAGGTGTAAAACTGAAGATGTTCCCAGCAGAAAAGTTCTTGAGGAAAACCTCACCATTTTTGGCTACTTCAGCTATGATGTTAGCTACTTTGGCTGTACAGGAAGACTGTGGAATCAACAGACTTGAAAACAATTGAAGTATCCCACTTCCTTGGATTTTTTCACTTGTTTCCATATCTGAAAGAGATATATACAAAGAGCTTTAATAAAAATCTTCAACAATAGCCTGACAATTTTATATACAATACATTCTTCAAGAATTCTCACCATCCAAATAAAAATTTGTTCAGTATAGATTCAAATGTATGCAATTTATATAAAATTACCTTCATTTCCACAACCTCCTTTTGAGTTTTTATTTGTATAAAACACTTTATAATGCAATCTTTTCTCTATCTACAGATTATAAAGGAATTCTTTTTGAATATACCATTTGTATACTAAACTTACTTTTCAATGTCAGTTCCAAGCCTGTCTATTCAGAGTAGGAATGTCTTTTTTTCTATCTCCCTTCTGAATTCTGTAACAGTGTATTATTTTTACATATGTTTACACACTTGGAATGATTATAAAATCAGTGTTTATTAACATACTAGAGGCCCGATGCATGATATTTGTGCAAAAGTAGGCCTTTGCTGCCTCAGACCTTCGCAGCACCGGCTGCCTCGGCTTCGTCCAGAAAGTCATCTGGATAGTCGTTCCGTCATTTGCATATTATGCTTTTATTATTATAGATAGTTCATTTTCAAGATTTAAAAGAATCTACAGAAATGAATAATTTTTTTGTAAATGCCTGTTTTCAAACTGATGACCATTCTGGTCCAAGCACTACTGATAATGCAAAGCAATGGAATCACAAACATCAAAAATCATTTCATTTGTCGACTTCATTTCATACGCATCCTCAATTTGTGGACTGCTGCCGGTTTTGTACCATAAACTTTATCTTTTATGTATTTCCATAAAAGAAAAACAAAAAGTCTAGTGTCACTTTAGGATAAATTTTCTTTGTTCAAAGCTTAGCCTGACTTCACATTATTTCAAATCAGTTAAACCTGAAAAGGAGTGAAAATTAGGAGTTTTTTTGGACACTATATATAAGCTGGGGCAAAAGTAGGTTTACAGTTGTCTACTTTTGCCCCACCCAGTATATATAAATTCTATGGTTTCCTATATACTATCATAAATTTTTAAAATAATAATTAAATGAGCAAAAAAACCCACCTCATATCACTTTATATGGAGAGATAGAGGAAACTACAGTTCTATATGACTACTACCTTTTTCATTCAACTCTTCAAACCACCACTAAGGACGAAAAGAAGTAGTGAACAGATTTAGTGATATAGAAAGTCAAGAGACCCCCTACTTCTTTCTTTGATAAAATATATATATAAAGAACCTTTCAATGAAACCAAGTTACTTCATGTATCTATTATTAAAAGCATGACCTATTAAAAGATAACAAGAACATCTGGAATGATTATGCAAATAAAGAAAAACTCAAGGAAAGAAAACTTAAAATTGCTATTTGATGCTGAACAATGAAGAAGCATAGCAGCCCTGTCCGGTTTGGCTCAATGGGTAGAGTGTCGGCTTGTGAACTGTGTGTCCTGAGTTCACTTCCAGTCAAGGGCACATGCCCAGATTATGGGCTCGATCCCTAGTAGGGGGCGTGCACGAGGCAGCCAATCAATGATTCTCTCTCATCACTGATATTTCAATCTTTCTCTCTCTCTCTCTCTCTCTCTCTCACTCTCTCCCTTCCACTCTCTGAAATCAATAAAAACATTAAAAAAAAAATCTCTGAAATCAATAAAAACATTAAAAAAAAAAAAGAGAGACATAGCATATGTTTAAAGATAGAGTGGTAAGCTCATTAAAAAATTCAATTTAAAATTGTTTCTACTAGTATGTGTAGATCCTCTATCTTTACATACTTTATATATACAAACTAATAAGAGAGAACACTGAAGATTTCTTAAGTAAATAGTAGCTAATGTGATCAACAGAGTAGAAAAATAATTTTAATAAAATAATTTGAGAAATTCTACAAAAATAATGCCTTTCTTTACAGTAAGTGCCAATTAGTGCAGTTTTTCAAACTGCACTATCCATTAGAAACTCTGAAATGGATTTGGTGAACAAAATCCAGCAATTTCTCGAAGACAGACCAGAATGAACACCACCAGCCAAAACAACAAAAGAATAGGAAAAATTTTGCCCAGAGTAAGGTAAAAACACTTAGTGAAACTTTGAATTATACATATGCACATGTATAATTAACTGTATGTGTATGCCTACTTTATGTAAAATGTATTTCTAACCACAGGTTCTGGTCAAAAAGTTAAGAACCACTATGCTGTGCACTGCTTGACTACCCAGGGTTACAGAACCATAACACTCCCTTAACATCAAGAGAAGCTAGAGTTGTCAAATGGCTGAAGCAATAGAAAAGTATATAGATAATTATACTTCCATGTATTTATTATCTTTGAAAAAGTAATTTGCAATTCATTTATATGTGTTTATCCATGACATTGATACTACAGATCAATCAAGTAACCAAGATTAGACAATGTTGAAACTCCAACCATGCATTTTCTTTACCTAGCATAAGCATAGTGCATTTTCACACAGCCAGTACTATTTTAGTTTCTGAAATTTTATGTACTACAAAAGACATCTGTAGTACTTAAAACAACCTTATTTATTAGTTGAAATAAACAGATACCCAGAAAAATGAAGCAGACTTGTCTAAAAGTCACCAATCATACTAATCACAGAGCATAAACAGCAACTTCAGATTCTATTGAACTAACAAATTGAAATGTGTGTCACCTGGCAACCACTGGTATTATTTTTTACAACAGAAAACTTAAGCAAAAATAAATGAAACCTGTCCTCTTGTATGCTGTCACTTACTAGATTTCTTACAATTCAGATTACTCAAAATGTCATGTACACATGATGGGGACATAAACATAGCAGTTGTCTTTTTAACAAGCCCATTTATAAAATATAATGTGCCTTTTTGCTTTTGTTCTGTTTCATGGATTAAAATGTTTTTAAGGTACCACCTGAAAACCTCACACCAAATTTCCATTAATTTTTTTTAAGCAAGAAGCCAAAAAGAACTGAACCCAATTTTCCATAGTAAAATCCTTCCTTTTCTAACCAGAAGATGTACTACTACAACTTTAGATTGCCCCAGGGGTCTTATGCCACCATCTGTTGGTGCTAAGACAAAAGAGCAAGAATATGGCATAAGGCATGATCATGATTAAATGTGAAGTCGAGGCACTTATGTGCTTGGAGGCAAGCAGTTAACTGCAAATCACCCATGCGTGTCTCCCTTTGACTATAAGTGAAAGAACGGCTTAACGTCAGAGCTGATGGGGCAAGAGGAAAAAGAAAACAATACGAAATTCTTGTACTCTGATGAGACAGACTTTCCACAGATTATAATCCAAGGAATTGGAAGAAAAGTTATACTAAGATGAATCAAGAATTTGGGAATGGTATTTTTTATGCTATTGTCAGAGAAATCAAAGAAATAAATATAATTGTTTCTCATGTAAATGTGATTTACAATTTTAAAAAATCTAACAGGAATTCTATTTATTTGCTAGCATCTGGATTTCTATATAGGTTTAGAATTTAAATTCAACAGTTGGGAATTACCCTTCTTTCCTGTGGCAGAAATACACAAAGGACCAAATACTGCTTATCACTAAAATGTCACTGTTCAATAAACAATTATAAAGTTTCAGCCTCATTTCATATATACTTTCTGCACTGGCATTACACTGCATTTCAAATGCATAGTGATTTGTGAAACTAAAAGATGTTCTCAGATATCTGTGAATACCCTTGAAATGATTTTAAAAGCACATTAAGAAGTAGTCAGCAGTTAGTGTTTGCAGGTCTAAATAAAGGAAGGGCTACTTATAAAAAAAATCATGAACTGAGCTCAAGAGGCCTATAAAAAGGTAGGCTTTTCATTATTTTTGCCAGTCTACTATAGACATTTTAACTATACGTCTTTTAAATGTTTTCAGGAATCAATTCATTATCTTTCTCCCCCTTCACAGTTAGGTTCGGTCATAAAAAATGTTTGAGTATGACTACAAATTACAGGCACTGGCAGTCCTTGAGTTTTAAAGGATCCATATATGATGGGCAATTGCTCCTCTAAAATAATATCTGTAGAACCTACTGCAGCAGTCATATCCATCACAGCAGCCCTTGCAGTGCAGCAAGCGTTCATTCTGTCCCTATAGTCCTGTGTCCACACTCCATCTGGCCTCCTGGTGGCAATAAGCAGCTTAGTTATGAAACTGCCACTGACAAAAGGGAAAAGAAAACTGAGCAATCAGGTCAGAGAAACTTTAAAGAAGAGTACATCAAGAACCTAGGTTACAATGGCATTATGGGGAGAAGTTAAAGCACCGCTTGTAGAACTTCTCAAGGCCAATAACCTGGTAGAACACAGGAAACAAGCAGAATGGGAATAACTCATAATTTAAGATATAGCTTGAGAAAGGCTGAAGTTCCCCAAAAAGCTGCCAAATAAATACAATAAAAAATTGGCTTTACAGTTAAATACCAAGATGGGGTTTTCAGGTATGCTACTACAATAAATTGAATTTTTGATGTTATGTTAGCATATAGACTTCATGAGGATAAATTAATAAAAAGCATTTGATAACCAATTTATAGTAAACTCCAAGTTAGAAAAACAAAAATAATGACTGCAATTACTATAACTCTCTTGGATTAAAAATGTATTTGTATAAATTGATAGTATGTTTTAAATTAATACAAAATACCTTTTTCAAAAGTAATAAAAATGCCTTTTAAATAAAATCTGTGCAAATAAAGAAATTAAAGGGGGAAAACCCCTCGCGGGGATTTTGCATGCATTTATCAAATTAAAACTCTTACCTTTTGCAATAGCATGGACCAGTCTAGAGGTTATTATGCTAAGGGAAATACTGTAATCCAGTCCGTGAAAGACAAATACCATATGATATCACTTATATGTGTAACCTAATGAACAAAATAAACTGACAAACAAAATAGAATCAGAGACATGGATATATGGAACAGACTGACAGCTGTCAGAGGGTGGAGGTGGGGGGGGCGGGGGCTGCATGAAAGAAAGTGAAGGGATT